TCTAAGTTGAAATTCTGATTTACTTATTGTACTCGGGGTACGGGGATGCCATCAGAATCTCCAGCTTAGACCAAAGACAGAAATAAATTACCTTCAACTCACTAAATAAGCAAGCTAAATATTTACATGCCATTTTTGTCATCCGGTAAAAATTTGAGCATCGGATAAATTATCAAAAGCAATAATGAAAATCAACAATAAGCTTCAATGAACACGTCTCATGCAGTCAGTCTGAAGCCAATGAAGAGACGATTGCCTCAGCAACCATCCTTATTATCCCCAATCTACATGCTTCCTAACAAAATAGTATTTAGACATCAATTATATTTAGATGCATGATCCATGTCATTATGAAGTCGCATCGCTGCCTTAGCTGGTTAGGATTATTATGTCAAAATTACTTGTATTTAGTCAAAAAATTATATTTATGTATAAAAACTGGGTTGCAAAGAATCTCTTAATAGATTTCTGTTAGAGTACCTTACATTTCGTTAGAAGAGGTGACTGGAAGGGATTCGCAAGTAGGTTCCACTGGACATTGTAGGGGGTTGCCTTGGAGCTGTGGTTGTAGATTTGTGAGAACAGGCTCTCGCCGCATCACCCGGCGACCCCGATCAATCCTTCACAGCTCCAAGGCAATCCCCCCATAGCTTCAGGTAGAACCAACTTACGAGCCCTTTCCACTCGCCTCTTCAAATGAAATGAAAGGTAATCCAACATCAAAAAATTTTATTGTCCATTTGTAACTACAGTTTCGAGACTAGCAATAAATAAGTGTATGAGATGAAATGTATGAGATGTACTCAGCCTATTTAGTTTATGATGATAGAGGAATGATAGTTGATTTTCCCTCAATTCTCTTGACTACTCGAAACCCGAATAAATACAGGAGCTAAGGTGGACTTTTTTTAATCTTGGCCGTAGAAGGAAACAATTCTATCAATTTTATCTCCTCACGAACCAGACAGTGGATTATTTCACTTATGCATTCTCATACTTTTTATGTTGTCAATGAATGAACGTGTAATTGCCCATCCCTACTCTTTCTTACTACTTCGAAAAGAGTCGCACAACAACATAAGATCATTTCTTATCCTCAGTCATGCAATGCTACTGTCGTCCAGTCACATTATGACCACCAGCACACGAGCCTACCATTAGACCAACTAAACTGTCCTATCACACTAAGTCAGACTATTTGCTAAGAACAAATCAGAAGCTGGCAAACACCACCAAATTTTTTAAGTAAGACCTAATTGAAGGACTCTGAACGCGTATCTGACTCCTACGTGACTAGGTCGTCTGGAGATTTACTATCCAACCTTACACTTGACCCATACTCCCATACCATCTAAAAACATCCGATGATCAAACAAGAGTCAACATGAGCCAAAAAGAGAATGCTCTGGGAGATGGCTTGGTAAAAAGAAAATATTTTGTTGTAGATCGTAGATATGAAAACCAAGATGGTGTGGTCTTCTATTTGCTCGAAATCTCCTTTAGCCTTATTGTGTTGGTCCGGCCTCATTTACACAACTTGGTCGTAGTGTCAGGAAGAAGTCATGGAAAATAACTAGTCCTGTGTCCTATGCACTGTGTCCTATGCACTGTGTTCCGTGTCCTATTTGTGATTCGCGGCATTAACTTGGAGCATTAACTTGGTACATACCCAAACGTTTCGCCGGCAGCGTCAGTGAGGGGCGTCATCGTTGGCACAGATTTACGACTCATTAAAGTGACAAATGAAGACAGTGCGCTTATTGAAGCATACTCATCTCCACCACCGGTACAAGATGCAGGGCTCCGGACATAAATTCTGCCTACCCGCTTGCCAATTGGCCGATGCAGATTGGACAGCAGTTTCGACCTCGCATAGGTCTTATCAACACTCCCAGCGGAAGTCGAATCGTCACAGTGCAGCATACGAGTTTTGACACGTTAGTCACCACGCTAACCTTGGGTCACAGGGCAGATGTGAACTTCAAGGAAGGCCAGGCCTTTTCCCATAACACATTCTTTAGTGGGATTGTCAATGATGCAAACGTATTTTTTCTATAAGAATTGACTACATTACTTATTTTTCGTATATAAGTAGACTTTCGAGACTACCAATAAATAAGTTATAAGAGATGTATTCACCTTATTTCGTTTAAGGTGATGAGGGACCGGTAGTAGAATGTTCCCACAATTTTAAAAGCTGTAGTTTACATTGAATTTCGCATAGCCTTGCTTTCCCAAAACTTGTTCTCATCCCCCATCACCTTAAACGAAATAGGGTGAATACATCTAATATTACTGATATACTGGTTGTCTCGAGACTACACTTATATACGAAAAATAGGTAATGTAGTTGTTTTTTATAGCAAAAATACGTTTGCTTCATCGACAATTCCACCAATGAAAGTGATATGGGAAAAAGCCTGGCCTTACTTGAAATTCTCATCGGCCCTGTGACCCAAGGGCCCTCTTGGCAATGTGCCTGAGTGGTTGACGCGCCAAGCTCACAAGCCTCACTGCCACGATTCGATTCCTGCTGGGGGCGTTAACAAGACCGATACGAGGTCGAAACTTTTGGGAAAGCAAGGCTGTGTGAAATTCAATGGAAACATCAGCTCTGCTCATATCATTGTGGGAAAATTCTACTACGAGTCCCTCATCACCTTGAATGAAATAGGGTGAATATATCTCATATAACTGATCTACTGGTAGTTTCAAAACTCTACTTATATACAAAAAACTGGTTGCGTATGTTTGTGGATAGATCGTTAGGTCTCATATGCGAAATGTGATGCGAACATCACTCCAAATATATGACAAAATACGATTAGAATTCGGCTCAACTAATTTATTAGGGATACATACATTTCGTATGAAAGTGCATAAAGAAGATATTCGAATGCCGATCTCACTAAAGTTGACGCCTCTTTCCTAATGTCCCTATTCCTATTTCTAAAAGTCTCACGCTTACATTAGTTCAAGAAGACTATCCGGCTCTAGCTTACCTTTTATATATACTCATAACTATAAATGTAAATGAATAGGTATAGATAGATAGTGAATGGTTTAGCTAATTATATATCATTCTGGTCCCACTACTTTTGCAGGAGTGTGTGTGTGTGTCTATTAACGTCCATACGAAATACCGGTCTTAAATCAGAGTGATCAAAAAAGTCTAATGTCAGATTCTGGTCATCAAGCCTTAATGTCCCGAGAAAAAGCTCTGAGCGAGACTGCGTAAGCCTGTGAGCAATTATGGTTGAAATAATAAGATTGTAAGTCAAGTTACGAAACCACCCGCTCTAACCTTTCACTCTAGGACCGTTATGGTTTAATATTCCACAAAAAGGCCTAATTGAGGCTGCATAATCTCGTGCGTCTGCCTTGGTTGCAGAGCTTAATCTAACATGATGGGCGCGTGTGAGTAAAGTTAGAGCCATCACTGAGCAGACGAGTTGACTCGCCTTCTTTGGGAAAGTCTCCCCAATAATGTTATCTCAGGAGCCTCATCGAAACTCATTTACTTTTCGTATCTACAATTAACTTATTTAGTCACTCTATGCCCTCGATCAAAGACTTGTAAAACGTCGATCAGAGTATTCTATAATCTAAGACCAAGATGGTGTGCCCTTTTGTATGGTCGAAGTTTATTTTTGTTGTATATGCCTTGGATGACCTTGTTCTTGCAACTTGGTCGT